TTCGTCAAGATCGATCGTGTCTTTTAGATCGCGCTCACACGCAAAGAGTCAAGAGTTCACCGAGACGTTCCTGGTTCATTACTAAACGCATAACAGTTTTAATTTCACTGATTTCAGCTTTGAAAAGCTGCGCTCGGCAAATGCGGATGTTACAGTAACTGTCAGGCGCGTAACTATATGATTTTTGATTGACCGAGACACTTCTGGGGCGGGTCTGGGGGCATGCTCCCTCAGAAAATTTTTGATTTTCTAAGGCTTAGAAACGCTATTTCCTGCATTCTGGGAGCAGTTCAAACAAAATATCAATTTCATAAACAGTGACACAATGACTATAATTTTATACTGTTGTTTTCCTCCAATCCTGAGGCTAAGAATTACAAATATTTTTGGTCGAACATCATTGATCAGGTGCATAATAAAAAGGGTTTGTGCTCAATTGTTGTAAAATTTGGGCGCTGGCCCGCACTTTTGTTATTGGGATACTTGTGCACACATACAGCCTCCCATTTCTTACGTCACTGTAAGGCAAGAATAATGCTTCTTTACATTGAGAGAACTATACAGTCTGTCACTGAACTTGAGCTCATATACTCGATTGACTCATATACCTAGTTATGGGCCTGACTGTAAGCAACAATTGGAAACATCGCGTAGTCAGTGGAAACAATTTTTCCCTCCGTGATTTCAGATAAACCAGTGCCGGTCGTTCACTGATCGAATTTCTTGATTGCAGTAGGCACATCAACTCTTTGGTAACAAAATACATATGCATAATTATCGTGTTACATGTGAACATACTTCCTAATATAACTCGGCTAGAAATTCGTTTTTGCACTTTACATCTTAAAAATATAGTTTAGGGACTGGAAATTTTTTCGAGATTCATCGCATTTTGGAGTCTGATTTTGGGGGTTTGAAATTTTCGCTAATATAGAATATCACCTGTGAATGACCTTGCAGAACCTAAATTCCAAATAAAAGTGCCAACACGTAATTGTGACATATAGATATCTCATGCATGTAAGCATGTTTGGAATGTAAATGAAAATTTCATCCCTTTGCGCGTGTTTTGAATGATAATTCGTTCATAAACTCGCGAAATAAGTACGTAATATTTCTTCATATTACTTCTGAGTTGTTTGATCCGTTTGAGCACATTTCCAACTCAATACTCAATAGTCTGAGTCTATCTCGAGTTTTGAAAAAAATTAATTTGCTTCGCAAAGCACTGCATGTATAAAACAAACGCATCATTTTGAGACCGACTGCACGTAGTTTGAGACCGACTGGGTCATTTCTCTGGGGGGTGAACCACCCCCGCCCCCCCCCCCCCCCCCCCCTGTCGATGCTGAATTAATATAAACGAGTATGTTTATGACATTCAGTATATATTTCATAATTTCCAGTCTTAAATCCGTCTGACCGTGTAGCTCAGTATAGGTAGAGCGTCGATCTAGTAATTCGACGGTTGCGGGTTCGAGACCCAGCCGCGGCAGACAACATTTTCTGCTTGCGCTGGGTATGGAAACTATATAATACACCCTCTAGAACATTTTCATCTTAACATATTACAGAGTGTACAATTACACAACCAATATATATATATATATATATATATATATATATATATATATATATATATATATATATATATATATATATATATATATATATATATATGTATATAAATATAAATTGAGGTCGAGTGATGTCGAGTCGTATTTTAGCTATCAGCCCATAAACGACTCGAGCTCCAGCTCGTGCTATATTTGTTAGTTACATACTATATAGAAAGATATTTTAATGTCCATTTACAATTCTCAATTATTCACAACACATTATTCACAGCAGTTTCGAATTTTGGAAACAATGACGCTTAATTCTGTAGTAAGAGAAAGCTCGCTATTATAGGCTAAACTGTATTTTCCTTCATCTTTCTCCACCGTATACACGAGCTGTGGCGACCCAAACTCTTGCGCATATTCAGTAAATATATTTTTAAAACATTGCCAGCAATGTAACAGTTGCCTGTTCAAAATTTTAGCAAGAAGTTGCGCTGATAATCTTGCGCTTGGAGCAACCCAAGATGGACTGTATTACATCGATCCAGACGGGAACGGTAAATTCAAGGTGTTTTGTGATATGAAAACATCCGGGGGAGGATGGACTGTGTTTCAGCGTCGTCTTGATGGAAGCGTTGACTTCTACCGAGGATGGCAAGAATACAAGAAAGGATTTGGTACACAGTATGGTGAACATTGGTTAGGACTGGAGAAAATTCATAGAATAACTGCCAGTGAAACACACGAGCTTCGGATTGAGCTAGAAGATTTCGGTGGAAACAAAAGATATGCGTTGTACACCAATGTATCTGTTGCCGGCGAGAAAGACAAGTATAGGTTAAATGTTGGTACTTTTTCAGGTAGGTATGCATAAATATATTTTCTACTGTAAAGTTTTTATTATTTTGACAAACATTCGAAACGCGTTATATTAGCATCCCGAACATTACAGTTTTGCAATTAACCTGCGATCAGCCCTTTGTTTTTTCGCGGCGGCTGAGCGAAGAATAATGATGGCCTGATGCAAATTTTACTAAAAGTTCGTCTCCTAAATCTGGGACGGGGGGGGGGGTAGATTATTAGCAAACCCAGAAGATATAGCTAACCCCCCCGTAAAACAGTAATACAGTTATGAAAACTTTTGTTCAGCATTTCTGTTGTCCAAATTCCTCAAATCGGTAGTATCAAATGGTGTTTAATGGTGTGACTAATTTTCAGCTAAGTTGGGTTTCGTAACTTTCAGTTAAGTGGAAACACGACAGGCAGAACATGATGGTCGAACTGTCACAGCCGTAGCGTAACGAAAGATATTTATAGTTAAGACTGGAATCTATGGAGGTAGTTATGCTTCCCCGGATAAAAATTGAGGTACTGAAATGCCATTTCCAGCACTCTCAGGAATAATTAGTTGCTGTTGTTGTTACCATAGATATCTTATATACACTAGATAATGCATCTAATTTTTCTGCAATTCAAAAATTGAAGCCGTGATTGCAGACTCAGGATATTCCAATGAAATGAGAAGATTCGTATGTTTTCTGGGCCAAGGTCGCCTAATGTCGCCTAATTTCGCCTACCCCGGCGAAAATTTGTTCATGAAGTCATGAACTTTGATGGTGCATTCATGAACGTTCATGTAAATTCATGAACAGTTCATGCTCCGTTCATCAAATATTTTACCTACGGTTCATGAACAAGTGTTCATGAAGTGTTCTTGAATGCTCTTCATGAACTGTTCATGAACAGTTGATGAATGGCCAATCAGTTCATGAACTTTTTGTTTTGAACAGAATAGTTCATGAATGTTCATGAATGTTCATTTGAATATTTCATGAACTGATTATTCATGAAAAATTCATAGAATTTACTTGATGAACATATCATGAAATTTTGATGAATTTGTACTGATTCATGAACGTTCATGATTTCGCTTGGTGAACTACCATGAACTATTCATGAACAGTTTTAGCTAGTGGATCATAATACATCATAAATAATTCATAAAATGTATTAATTTAATGAATGTCGATGCATGTTTAACAATATTAACTTTACGATCGTATATATTACGAGTCTGTAAAAAATTATACACTATATTCACTACTGTAGTCTGTATTAAATTTGTCATTTCAAATTGAGTGACACTGATTTGGAAAAGTGCAATTTCTGATACATTAGTTGATGCGTGGTTACAGTCAATATAGAGAAAAACTGTCTTTAAGGTCTATACTTTTATATTATTCATTTCTACATGAATCAAACTCTAAATGTCTTTTCTGCCAATTTTATCTGATATCTAATCAGGTTTGCGCATCTTGGCCATGTAGACAGGCTGACGGTCAAGCCTCAAGCTATATACAAATACAGCTCACATTTAGTGTGGGAAGACAAATTTGCGTGCTTTTATAACGCAGCACTTCAGTTTTATTATGTTCTTCATTGTTCTTGCTGGGTTTACTGGCGTTTGTTGGCTTGGATATGCATTTCAAGAATACAATGTTGGTGAAACTACCAGGAGGGGTATAGCTACGTCAGCGAAATTCCAGCAATTAGCGTAGCGCAAATTAAGCGCATTCAAGTAAGTTTTAATAGCTATATCGGATCACCGTTTTTAATACGGCCATATAAAATTAATATGCCCAAAACGTTTCAATAAATGCGTTATATCAAATGTTTAACAAACATAGTGTACATTTACTCGCCCTTACGAAAATTTCCTATAGGAATTCCTATAGGAAATCAAAATTCCTCTAGGAATTCCTATAGGAATTGAAATTTCCTATAGGAATTCCTATTGGCATTGAAAATTCCTATAGGAATTCCTATAGGAATTGAAAATGGTGAAAAAATTCCTATAGGAAAAAATAT